CCCCAGCTGTTGCAGCCATTTGGGGAGTGAACCAGAAAATCAAAGACTAACTCACTCACTCACTCTCTCTCTCTCCCCCCCTAACTCTGCCTTTCAAATAAATTCTTTTAAAAAAAAAAAAATGTTATTTTATGCATTAGTCACCTGTAATGTGTAGATTTAAGTTGGAATCTAATCTGAAAACAGATTAAAATTTAGACAACTGAGGAAATTTGGACACTGTGTATCTGATATTAAGAAAACATGATAGGAGCCGGCTCTGTGGCATAGTGGGCTGAGCCTCCGCCTGCGGCGCCAGAATTCGTATGGGTGCCAGTTAGTGTCCCGGCTGTTACTCTTCCGACCCAGCTCTCTGCTATGTCCTGAAAAAGTAGTAGAAGATGCCCCAAGTGTTTGGGCCCCTGCAACCACGTGGGACACCCAGAAAAAGCTCCTGGCTCCTGACTTTCGATCGGCTCAGCTCTGGCTGTTGAAGCCACCTGCGGAGTGAACCAGAGGATGGAAAACTTTTCTCTCTCTGCCTCTGCCTCTCTCTATAACTCTACCTCTCAAATAAATCTCCAAAAAAAAAAAAGGAAAGAAAAATGTAATAAAGATATTAATTACATGTTCTTTAAAAGGAGGCTCATTTCTTCTAAAAGCTTTTGAGATGAAATGATATGATGTATTGAATTTGATTCCTGAGGGAATGAGACTGACCAATGAGATGCTGAGAATGGGGGGCTCGCTGCATACCAAGGTTTCCCAATTCCAGCCCTATTGACATTTGGGAATAGATACTTCTCAGTGACGGGGGAAGTTGTCTTATGTATTGCAAAACGTGAGCGGCATGACTAGTGACCAGTAACTCCCACTTCCTCTAGTTGTGACAACTAAAAATGTTTCTAGACATTGTCAAATGTCCCTGGAGGACAAAATCATCAATAAATTCCATTCTACCTATTTGAAATTTTCCATAACAAGCCTTTTCAAAAATATTTTAAATATTTATTTGAAAGGGAAAACAGAGAGTGAGAGAGAGACCTTCATCTGTAGGTTCACTCCCCAATACATGCAACAGCAAGGGCTAGGACAGGCTGAAGCCTAGAACTCCAAACAGGTCTCTCAAATGGGTGGCAGGGATGGTTGGCGCCGCAGCTCACTAGGCTAATCCTCCGCCTGCAGTACCAGCACCCCGGGTTCTAGTCCTGGTTGGGGCGCCGGATTCTGTCCCAGTTGCTACTCTTCCAGTCCAGCTCTCTGCTGTGGCTCAGGAGTGCAGCGGAGAATGGCCCAGGACCTTGGGCCCTGCACCCGCATGGGAGACCAGGAGGAAGCACCTGGCTCCTGGCTTCGGATTGGCGCAACGCGCCCAGCCGCAATGCGCCAGCTGTAGTGACCACTTGCGGGGTGAACCTACGGAAATAGGAAGACCTTTCTCTCACTGTCTAACTCTGCCTGTCAAAAAAAAAAAAAAAAAAAAAAAAAAAAAGGGGGTGGCAGGGATTCAAGTACTTGGACCATGATCTGCTGCCCCAAAATGCACATTAGCAGGGAGATGGATCAGAAGCAGAGCAGCCAGCAATGTGATAAAAACGAACTCTTATGGGTGGTGCCGCGGCAGGCAGAGGATTAGCCAAGTGAGCTGCGGTGCCGGCACCCCGGGTTCTAGTCCCGGTTGGGGCGCCGATTCTGTCCCAGTTGCTCCTCTTCCAGTCCAGCTCTCTGCTGTGGCCCAGGAAGGCAGTGGAGGATGGCCCAAGTGCTTGGGCCCTGCACCCACATGGGAGACCAGGAGGAAGCACCTGGCTCCTGGCTTCAGATTGGCATAGCGCACCAGCCACAGCAGCCATTTGGGGGTGAACCAACAGAAAAAAAGAAGACCTTTCTCTCTGTCTCTCTCTAATTTTGCCTATCTCTAACTTTTACCTATCCACTAACAGTGAATCTTAACATTTGAAAAATCAAGTGAAAAATAGTGTACAAGCTACCTTTTACTATTCTTAACCTAATAAGCAACATTCTTGTCATAATTACATACATTAAAAATTTAAACACGATTTTCCTAAAATAAGCAAAATCTAAGGTCTTTTGACATAACAGAAGAACAAAGCTGTTTTAGTAATCATAGCCAAAATGTCCCTCAACTGGTGAATGGATACCAAAGTTGGCTACATCTAAACAATGAAATACTACTTAGCAATAAAAGGGAATGAACTATATACACAAGAAAACACAAATAAATCCAAAAAGTATTAAGTGCATGAAATCAGACACAAGATTGTATTCTCTGAGACTCTGTTTACAAACATTCTAGAAAAGGAAAAAACTATAGAGGCAGAAAAACAGATCAGTAGTTGCTGGAGCTGGGGTAAGGGAGAGAAGATCCACTGCCAAGGGCCACAAGCGACCTTTCTGAAGTTGCAAATGTTCTAGATCTTGATTATGATGGTGGTTACACGAATATACATTTGTCAAACTCATCAAGCTACACACAAGAAGTATAAACCTGACTTCAACAAAAGAGCTTCTCAACACAGAGCTCCCACTCTTGTATACTCATCACTTGAGGAGCAAGAAGTCTAATGCTTAGCAGCACGAGAACATTAAGTAAATAACACGGCATACGGTCAATCAGAATCTGAGGCCGAACACTGACACAAAGGTACTCCACCGCCAGAACATGCCAACACGGAAGTTAAAAATGGACTCCAGTGCAGCATTTGGCATGCCAGTTCAGATGCCCTCATCCCAAACCCTAGTCGCTGGGTTCCAATCTCAGCTCCTCTCCCATTTCCAGCTTCCTGCTAATGCGCATCCTGGGAGACAGCAGGTGATGGCTCAAGCACTTGGGTCCTTAACACCTATGTGGGAGACTTGGATTGAGTTCCTAGCTACTGGCTTCAGCCTGGCCCAGCGTAGCCCTGAACCAGCAGATGGGAAATCTGCCTGTCTCCCTGACTTAAATATGTATTAGTGAATAAATTCTAAAAAGTAAGTATTAAAACAAAACACATGACAGTATGGTGGATTAATGAATGATGAGCTATAAACCTTTGATTTTAACAATGCTAAAAATTCTATTTTAAGTACATTACACGAGAATAAAGAAAAGGCCTGGGACTGGCACTGTGGCACAGCTAGTTAAGCCGCCATCTGCAGCGCAGTGATCCCATATGGGTGCTGGTTCTAGTCCCGGCCACCCCCTTTGGCTCTAACTCCCTATTGATGTGCCTGGGAGAGCAGCAGAAGATGGGCTAAGACTTGGACCCCTGCCACCCACACAGCAGAACCAGATCCTAGCCCTTGGCTTCAGCCTGGCCCAGGCCTGGCCACTGGGGCCATTTGGGGAGTGAACCAGTGGAGGAAAGATCTCTCTCTGCTCCCCCTCTGTCTGTACATCTGACTTGTAAATAAAAGAAGAAGAAACGTCCTCCACATCCCCAGGAGCTTTTTAAAAAGTTAGTAATTAATTTTCTTTTTAAAGATTATTTATTTACTTGAGAGGCAGAGTTACAGACAGAGGGAGAGTGAGAAAGGTCCTCTATCCACTTGTTCTCTACCCAAATGGCCACAATGACCGGAGCTGGGCAGAAGACAGGAGCCTCCCCTAGATCGCCCACATAGGTGCAGGGGCCCAAGCACTTGGGTCATCTTTCCACAACTTTCCCAGACCATCAGCAGAGAGCTGAACTGGAAGAGGAGCAGCTGGAACACAAACCAGTGCCCATATGGGATTCAGGCACCGCAAGGAGAAGGTTTAATCCACTATGCCACGGCACCAGCCCCAACAGTTAGTAATTTCTAACACAAAAAAAATCTACAAAATAGTTCAACAAATTACTCAAATAACAACTGAAGAACGAGCCAAGTCATTCACCAACATCACAAATATTCACCACCTAAATCATGCATTCATGAGTAAAAATGGCCTATTTCTTCCCTATTAAAATATGTATTAAAAGACGACCTATTTGAAAGCCTTCATTATCACAAATCTGCTGTTTGGCTGCAGTTTACAAAGTGTGAAGCTCTTGCTCTGGTTCAAGGTAAGGTTTTGCTTCTGAGTGAAGATCCATAATCAAAGCTGATCGCCTCACTTTTGTTCCTTGCTCCTTCCTTCAGGGTAGTAAAGAGTGGGAAGTGGTCAGGTCTGGGTCAGAAACGGTTTTCTTCAAAAGCACTATAAGAGAAGGAGCTCACTGACTCGCAGAGTCTAAGGTTTCCTACCACTCACTTTCTACGTAGTTCTCTAGCCCATCTCAGGTGGCGGACGCCTACCGCTCTCCTATGTGTGTAATGCTGGGGCGCAGGGATGCTCGAGACGGAGGCTTACGTAAACAGGTGAAAATACCAGCCAGCCGGCCGGCAAACAACTAAAGTGAAGGCACTTGATATGTCTGGGCCACAACGTCTCGGGACGTTACCGAAGGGATGAAAACACGCAGAGCAAGAAAAGTTCTCCTAAGAGCTGGCATTTTCTGGCCAGCAATCACCTGCTAACACGCACCCTGAAAGGCCCCCGAAGTTGCTTTGCCAGTTACTGGCTCTCGCGGTTGCGGCGCAGGGGCAGACCCGCGCAGGGCGCAGCCCAGCAGCGCGGCCCCCACCCCCGGCCTTTTACAAAAGGGGCACAAGCAGCAAAGCCAAGGTTCCTCCAGGAGGTGCGGGCCGCTCGTCTCAGCGCACCTCCTCCGCGGGGGGCGGAAAGCGGTGTCCCCGGCCACTGCGGCCTCGCGGGGACGCAGCCCGCGCCGGGCAAAGGCTGCGCGCTCTGCACACCTCTCCGGGGTCGAGGCGGGACCCCGAGTTCCGGCGACTGTCAGCCACTAACGCCCGGTTCCGCCCGCAGAAAGGACGGTGCACGTGACCCCTCCGAGCGCCCTGAATCAGCACCAGCGGACAGAGCCGCCCGCCCAACTGGAGAGGAGAGCCCACCCGGCCGGGCGAGCGCCCGGACCTCGCTGGGGCCGGCACGGCCGGGAGGACACGCCCGCCGCCGACAGGCCCCGGCTACTCACGTTTTCAGTGTCTCGTTCATTCACCGTGGGCAGCGGAGTCCGAGTGGACATTTTACTGCGCTCGGGTTCGCACAGGGCGCGGGCGAGAACAAAACGGCACAGCCCAGGAAGCCGGCGCGCGGCCCCTCCCCCCGCGGCCGCCTAGATCCCGGGCCTGGCCCGGGCCGTGCCCCGGCGGCTCCCGGGGCTCATCCTCCCCTGCCCGGGCGGCCGCGGCGAGGAGCCCGGCGGCGGCGGCGGCCCCGCGCCTCAGCGCACGCCGCGGGCCCGGGCCGCCTGGCCTCCTCCGCCTCCGCTCGCGCCCGTTGCGCCCCGGGTTTCAGCTCCGGGGCCTCCACACAGCGCCGCCGGCAGCCCCTGAGGAGGAGGCGGAAGAGGATGTGGAGAAGGTGGAACGCAAGACAGGCCGCCGCGGGCTGCGGGCGCCGACCATGGAGGGGGCTGCGGCGGAGGCGCCTGCGCCCGGCTGCTTTCCTCTCTCCCGCTCGCTTTTCGCCTCAGCCTCCGCCCTGCTGGCCGCCGCCGCCGCCGCTCCCGGCACCTCAGAGCCTCACGGACCCAAGATGGCCGCCACTCGGCTTCCTCTGCTGTCTCCGGCTGCCGGAAGTGACGCCGCCGCCGCCTCCCGGAGGCCGGCCAATCAGAGCGGCGGGAGCGGCCCGGGCGGGCTGCTGTTGCTAGGGGCGACTCGGCCCGACAGGTAGGGCGCGAGGTGGGCGGCGCCGGGTCTCCGCTGGCTCCGGGGGCGCCGGGTTCCCACAGTCGGGCATCCCTGCGCGGCGGCGTTGGCGCTTACGGACTACAGATCTGGCTTTCTTGGATTACAGATCGGGCGCCTACTGTGTGCAAACACCGAGCTCGCCTCCCGGGGACAACGCTACGTGGGGTGGGTGGATCCGCAGGGTCGGGGCTGCAGGTGGGCGCGCGGCTCCAGCACGAGCCGCTGCGACCCGGGCGTCGGGCGTGCACACACCCAACTTGCTTGCGGGTCTGCCTGCCTGGCCATCAGGAGGGTCTGACTTGGACCCAGCCAAATGCCACCTGGAAGGGGGAGTGCGACTAGGGGGGCAGGCAGGGGAGGGGATCGGTCCCCTAGGGACCAGTTCTTAATGCCTCTAGGGGGTCTCTAACCAGGACCAGCTGCAGGTGTGGTTCAGTAGCCCCCTGCGGCAGGAACACTGGAAATGCCGCCTCCCCTGGGCCTTGGGTGCCCTTGCGACCAGGCTGGGTCACATAAACCGTTCTCGAGAGGCTGGGGGGGGGGGGGGACATTGCACCAGCTACCTCATTTAAGCCTCAGGGCAGATGCACCATGTCACCCGGGGACAGGTTGGTTACCAAAGGAGCCTCGATTTGAACCCTGTTCCTAAAACTCTGGTAATAACAGATAAGCGAAATGTAGGGTGGGTGTGGATTGCTTGTTTCTTCCGATTTTGGAGGGGGTGGGGGAGGCCATCTTGCCAGCATTTTCTGCTCCGTGAAACATATACTTTTTTTTTTTAAGATTTATTTATTTTTTTGAAAGAAAGAGATAGAGAGAGGCAGAGAGAGAGGCTTCCATCTGCTGGTCCACTCCCCAGATGGCCGCAACGGCTGGAGCTGCTCTAATCCAAAGCCAGGAGCCAGGAGCTTGCTCCAGGTCTCCCACACGGGTGCAGGGGCCCAAGGACTTGGACTGTCTGCTGCTGCTTTCCCAGGCCATAGCAGGGAAGTGGATCAGCTGGGACTCGAACCAGCACCTATATGGGATGCTGGCACTGCAGGCAGTGGCTTTACCCGGTATGCCACAGTGCCATCCCCAGAACATATATATCTTTAAACACCGTAATCACTCCCAGAGAAGCCAGATGCTCCCAGTATACAAACACCTGCGGACTAGGATACTGCCAGGGCTCCCATGTCACCCTTCCAGGACAATGCTAGAGGGGTCCAGGGTATCCCTATATGGAATGTTGTCACCGTTCTTTCTTTGGCCAAGGGGAGATGTGGAATTCCCAAGAATTAAATGTGTGCCTGACACGGTTCAACCAAAATGTGGGTTATATGATAAGATTGGGGTGAGCACAAGTGTTGTTAGCCCAACTTGGGGGTTGAGTCAGAGAAGGCTTCCAGGAGAAGAGAACGTTTACGCTGAGCCTAAAAGCAGCGGCAGAGTTAGCCAGGTAAGGAGGGTGCAAAGGACAGTCCAGGCAGGGCTGCAGAGGTTGGAGAGGTGAGACTGGAAGAGCAGGGCCTAGACTCAGCACAGCACCTGGCTCTGTGTCTGCTCCCAACGACGGCAGGAAAACACCCCGAGAAGTTCAGCCTCGGGCCGGAGCTGAGAGACAGCGTGGGGTGATTCACAGCATTCGCCGTTGACCGGGGAGGGGGGGCGGGGATGAGGGTGCCACCCAGTTGCTTTTCTCACTGAGAAATGAGTCAGTGAACGCCCGGAGTCAGAAAACGAAGATGACAGCACCCAACTCATGATGTTGGTTTTGCTGAAGGCTAGAATTAAAGAAGCACCTGGAACTCTTCGTGGCACTGATGTCAGATGACGTCATGACACCATAAGGGTCTTGATGTGGGAGGCAAGGTGGGTGTGTTACATGAAGAACAGAAAGAGGTGGGGGAGGGAGGCAAAGCATTGTTCTGTCCAAAGAACGCTCGGAGACCCTCAGCTGTGTGCATCTGCAGTCAGGAAAACACACACACACACACACACACAGAGAAGGGCGAGATCTGGAAGTTGTCTTTGGAATGTGTTCTTCCATCCCATTTCATGTTCTTTGTTTCCTGTCTTCATAGTCAGACAGTTCCCATCTTCAGCTCCTGAAACGTGAAAGATACAACTAAATATACCAAGCTGTGTGCGTGCGTTGGCAGCACAGTTTTCCCTCAGCACCTGCAGGGCACCAGTTCTCTTACCCGAATCCTTAGCTGCTCAAGTCCCTCAAAGAAGACAGTGTGAAGTTGGCAAACAACTCACACACGTCCTCCAGTGTACGTGAAATCATCACCCAGTTACCTATACAATGTGAATGTGATTTAAATAGTGGCTACGCTATGTTGTTCCGGGAATAGTGACTAGAAAGTCTGAGGACTTCCAGTGCAGACGCAACTTTGAAAAGACATGTTTTTAAATTTATTTATCCAAGAGGCAGAGAGAGAGAGAGCAAGAGAGAGAGCCGCACTCCAGATGCTACAATGGCCAGGACTGGGCCAAGCTGAAGCTGGGAGCCAGGTCTCCCATGCAGGCGGCAGGAGCCCAGGTACTTGAGCCATCATCCCTGCTTCCAGCATCTGCCCCCATAGGGAGCTGGCGTCGGTATCAAGCCCAGATACTGTGCAATGCAGCTGGCAGGCGTCTTCGCTGCTAAGCCAAACGCCCACCCCGTGATTGTGTTTATTTATTTACTATTTTTCACAAACGGTCATTTGGGTCCGTGGTTGCAAAGCCCACAGGTAGGGAGGGCCCACTGTGGTTATCTTCATGGCAAGCAGGAGGCCACTGAGACACATCGGAAGCTGGCAATGATGTTGATGATGACAGTGGCCACCTCAAGGCCCCTGGGATGGCCACCATCAGAAACCCAGAAAATAGGGAGAGGTCAGCCTAGTGGTTAAGACGCTTGCCTGGGTTGGATTCCTGGGTCCAGCTGCTGATTCCAGCTTCCACTAGTGTAGACACTAGGAAGTAGCAGTAGTGGCCCAAGTGCTTGTGGCCCTGCCACCCACATAGGAGACCTGGATTGAGGTTCAGGCTCCTGGCTTTGACCTGGCCCAGTCCTGGTAATTGTAGCCATTTGGAGAGTAAACCAGCAGATAGAAGATCTCTCTCTCTCTCTCTCTCTCTCTCTGCCTTTCAAATAAACATTGGGGCCAGTGCTGTGGCACAGCAGGTAAAGCTGCCACCTGCAGTGCTGGCATCTCATATGGACACTGGTTCGAGGCCCGGCTGCTGCTCTTCTGCTCCAGCTCTCTGCTATTGCCTGGGAAAGCAGTAGAAGATGGCCCAAGTCCTTGGGTCCCTGCACCTACGTGGGAGACCCAGAAGGAGCTACTGGCTCCTGGCTTCAGATCGGCACTGCTCTGACCATTCCAGCCAATTGGGGAGTAGACCAGCAGATGGAAGACCGACCTCTCTGTCTCTCTCTGTGTAACTCTGACTTTCAAAAAAAAGGCTTAATAAATAAATATATAAATTGTTTTACAGAAAAAAAATATGGAGAAATTTTTTTTTTGACAGGCAGAGTTAGACAGTGAGAGAGAGAGACAGAGAGAAAGGTCTTCCTTTTTCCATTGGTTCACCCCACAAGTGGCTGCTACAGCTGAAGCATTGTGGCCGGCGCACTGCGCTGATCCAAAGCCAGGAGCCAGGTGCTTCCTCCTGGTCTCCCATGTGGGTGCAGGGCCCAAGGACCTGGGCCATCCTCCACTGCACTCCCAGGCCACAGCAGAGAGCTGGACTGGAAGAGGAGCAACCAGGACAGAATCTGGTGCCCCAACTGGGACTAGAACCCGGGGTGCCGGCACCACAGGTGGAGTGAGATTAGCCAAGTGAGCTGCGGCGCCAGCTGAGAAATTATAATTTTTGTGCAGTGTTGGTGGAAATGTAAAATGGTGCAACTGTTGTGGAAAGCTGTGGTGATTTTGGAAAAAATGAGAATTACCATGGCCGGCGCTGCGGCTCATTAGGCTAATCCTCCGCCTTGCGGCACCAGCATACCGGATTCTAGTCCCGGTCGGGGCTCCGGATTCTTTCCCGGTTGCCCCTCTTCCAGGACAGCTCTCTGCTGTGGCCCAGGAGTGCAGTGGAGGATGGCCCAAGTACTTGGGCCCTATATCCCATGGGAGACCAGGATAAGTACCTGGCTCCTGCCATCGGATCAGCGCGGTGCGCCGGCCGCAGCACGCCAGCCGCAGCGGCCATTGGAGGGTGAACCAATGGCAAAAGGAAGACCTTTCTCTCTGTCTCTCTCTCTCACTGTCCACTCTGCCTGTCAAAAAAAAAAAAAAAAAAAAAAACATATGACCCAATGATTCCAATTCTGGGTAGATACCCAAAAGAAAGAAAGCAGGATCTTACAGAAATATTTGTTCATCAACATTCATGGCAGCACTATTTAGAGTAGCTGAAACGTGGAAGCAAACCATGTGCCCATCGTTGAGTGAATGGAGGAGCAAAGTGTGGTAAGCCCATACAGTGGGATACTGTCCAGCCTTTAAAAGGACCATGGGTGGCCTTGAGGACATTATGTCAAGGGAACTACATGAGACACAGAAGTGCAAATACTGTGTGGCCCTAGCTCTGTGAGTTACCTGGAGTTGTAAGACAGAGACTGCAGTGGGATAGCGGTTAACAGGGGCCGGGGGGAGAAAGTTCTGGAGCTGGGTGGTGAAGATGGGGCAGACGCGCGCGAATGTGCTTCACAGTGGTTGAGATGGTTCAGCTTTATGGTAGGTACACTTCACCGCCATCTTTATCACGAGATGAAGAGGGGGCAGGTTGAGCTGTTGCTCGGTTGCCTGTGCCTAATTAGAGTTGCAGGTCCACCACTTGCAATCCAGCCTCCTGCCAATGCGTCCTGGTCCACCACTTGCAATCCA